TGGTATTTGTGTAAATTTTGTGAGTTGATTTTTTGTAATAGTGTTTTGCTGTAAATAGTAAGGTAATGGGATTTTGTTTTTCATTGATTCGGGTTAGAAACCTTGATTATTTGCATGGTTTTGTGGTTGTTTATTTTTACTTGGCTGTATTTAATTTTACCTTGGAAAAATTTGTTGTTGTGGTTGCCGTGGTTGTTGAGGGTTCTTGTAAGGTTCAAAAATATGTTGTTGAAAAATGTCATCTGGTTGATTTATATTAATCCATTAATTGTTTCGCTGGTTATTATTGTATTGTTGTTAATTTTGATTAAAGTATTCTACATCTTGAAAATATTGTGGTTGGCATCTTCTGAATGGTCTGTTAGTTGGGCTTTTAATTTGTTGCATAAATGGGTAGTTTTCGATGTGGTCTGTTAGAGTTTTTCGTTAATCATTGAAAAAACTGATTTAGATATTGCTTTGGTATTTGTTGAGTATAATCATGTTCTTAGGGTTGTTTTTGTGCTTGAGAAAAAGGTTTTTGTATTGGATTGCCGATATTGTTATTTGTGAAAAATTTATGGTTATGATTAGCAAAGCTATTGCTGTTTGCGTGTTTTTTTTTGTTTATTTAATTGTCGCTTTTTATTTATTGGTCTATGTGTTTGATATTCCATATGCGATTATTTGGGGATGGTTTAACTGTTGATTTTAATGTTGTTTGTGAGAAAGGAGTATTATGTTTGTTAGGCGGTGTTGTAAGTGTTGCGCTGATAGGGGAAATACTTTTTTGTGTTGTTGTAGGTAGTTTTTCAACTATTTCTTCTTTTAGGAAACGTGATGGAGTTTTTATGTCTTGTTGTGTCAAATTTCTAGTTTCATTAAGGATTTCTTGTGTATTGATGAAAAATGAATTCAAGCTGTTATTGCTTGTTTTACCGTTGAATTTTTTACTATAATTTTTCAGGGTGTAGTGTCAGTTGTGAATGGAGTTACTCTCAAATAATCTTTGTATACAGAAACAGAAGCGATTGCTGTACTTGAAATATTATTCGGGATATTGAAAACAATATATGAGACCATTCTGGGTCCCATGACGTAATATGTTGCGTCCGTCTGCTAGTATTGCTTCATATTCTGTTGTGATTGAAAGTTTTTTCTTGCTAGTGGAATTAAGTGAGAATTTTGTTGAAAAAATTCTACTATGAACCATATTAGGAGTCTTTGTAGATCAATATTGTTACTCTTGATATTTCATCGTCAGTGAGTGTTTCACGAATTGAGTCTAAAAACTGTGTGAAAAGAATTATTTCTCTTCTTACTATTATGTGACGAGATGTACGCGTTGGTGATACATAAAATGTGTCATTTGTTTCTAATATAAAAACACAGCTATAAATTATGGATGAAACATCGTTTGTGAAAATTGAGTTTGTTCTTTGTCAGTTTTGGTGTATATTTTTGAGAAAAATGATTCAATATCATCTGTTTGTACTCGGAGTGGTGGTTGACTTGATGGTTGTGGTAGTAGAATTTTGATAGTAAATATATCGTAATATGAAGTAATATTACTGATGCCTGATAAAAAGTGATCGAGTACTTGTCTTTTAGATTTTACTTCAAGAAATTTTTGTTTACATGGATTTGTTCCTTTTTCGAACAAATTTGCAATTAGATTATGGCAAAGCTGTACTTGCCCTTTAATGGGATAGCTTTGTTGGTGGATGACAATGGCAAGGAAGGAATCACCATCAAATCTTTCATCGTATTGAATCATTTTCGTCCAGATTTGGGTTAATGTGTAATGTTCAATAGGCCTCACTATTATAGATCTCACTTGGTTTTATAATGTGTTTAAGGATGTAGTTTTATGATGTGAGGGGGCTCAAGTTCTTCAATGTTTATCTTAATTAAACTGGTAAGTTTTTCAAAAATTTTATTACTTCTGGGTCGTTGATATGGGTTGGAGAGTGATTCGATGTTTGAGGTCGTTCAACATTTTTTTACTAGGAGGTTGGGAGAACAAGATTGTTCTGATCGATCCAAGGGACGCCTTGATCATCAAAAAGTTTTTAAAGAAATTAATATTTAAAATTAGTTTAAAATTTTAAGATCCCAGGATAGACGTGATGATCAGCCTTAAATAAGTTTCAAGTTGTTACAAAAGCAGGGTAGGCAAAAACACTTTTTTAAGGTTAAGGCTAAATTTTTTTAGAAAAAGTTTATTAATTTATGAAAGGGTTCATTAAGAAATTAGTGATTTAAAGGATTTTAAATTTTGAGTGATTATGGTTGTGTTTTAGATGAAAGAACAAGGAAGCTGAATTGTGCGAGGATGAGGAGGTGCGTCCTTTAGAAACAAAGCATTTTTTATAGTTTTATTAAAACTAACTTTAAATAATTTTATAACCTAATTTTTGTATTTTATATTCAATTAGTTATATTTGTACAAAAGTTTTCAATTTACGGCAGATTTGTTGAAAATGAACGACATTTGTATCTTTTATTAGTCGTTATTATTTTAAATATTCTGTTTACACATCCTTGAAATGAATATGGCTTGGAAAAAATTTTCCTGCTCCAAGTAATTTTTATTTCATGTTAGTGAATGAAAACCTACTGCATTAAGAATTTTGTAGAGAAATAATCGTTGCAGCCTGCGTCGTTTCACGATATAGGAGATCGATCTGTTTTGATTCTGTTTGATTTTTGACCTGGTGTAAGCTGTATCGTTAGCTTGCATTGAGTAGACTTATCGAGAGGTAGATATATACTCATTAAATTTGCAATACTATCGAACATTTTGTGGTGTGTTTTTGATCTTATTTTTATTTTGTGTATGCTAAATCTAAATTGGTTGAGGTCTTGTTCGAGACTCTTGGCGCACCAGATGAGTTTACGATAGCTCAATCATAGAATAATTTCAGGCAAGATACACCGTCTGGTCGTCACGCTATCTTATTTTCGGCCGGATAGATTCGTGCAACTTTTTAGTCTAATACTGGTCTTAATCTTACTCTTATATTTCCTAGTCTCAAAAGATCTAGTGTATACTGATATTTGCGAGATAAGATATCAGGAATTGTTCTGAAGGAGAACGACTGTTTGCTGAGTTATATTTATTCTGCTCTGTTTGCTGAATTTATGAATAGTTTCAGCTATACAATTTATAGTAAGTGTTAGTTATGGATCATGACTGGTTAGTTAGAAAAATGGATCATGACTGGTTTGTAGAGATAGTTTTATCAATAATATAATTGGATATAAATATTAGTTTTAAACTGGTTCCAAGAGCTAATTTTTTCACGAAAACTCATATGTTCAAATATCATGCATAAATAAATTTTTTCTTCTAAGAAAATTATCTTGCCAGCTCTTATTTTAAGAGATGACTTAATTTTAATTCAAGATGTTTTCAAGATTACCTCCCTTGATTGACTAGGGCTCTGAAAAACTGCCAAAATACCATTTTCAAAATTGACCGTTTTTAAACCCCCATAATTGTAAAAAAAACAGTAAATTGGGGCAACAGTACATTGTAAACAACAATAACCCTATAAAAACCTATTCAAGGTTTAAGCGTATGCGGATCTGATTCATACTAGCGAAATCCCCATTTTGTAATAAAGGGAAATTTTAATAGATCCGAAATTTGTCTGGGGAAAAAATCCCGAGCACAAATACTCCAATGTTTTCTTTGAAAGTTGGGTTAAAAAGAAAGGCGTAATGGTACATTTTAAAAGGTGCACGTTGTGTACATAATGATACGCCACTAAAGTTGTGATATGTCTTAGTTCAGTTCCAACTGAGTGCAAGATCACAATCTGATGTCTTTCAGAGGCATTCAAAAGAAGATGAAGATGAAGAATAAGATTTATCTCTTTATTAGGTATCGGCAGCACTTTTGACCTCCGTTGAGAGTGGCACTTCAATTTGAGTTGTTTGGCGCTTTAGGTTGTTCATCACCTAGAGTACATGACAGCAGTCATATCCAAGCCCTGCTTGAGTGATCAGAAAGGCAGAAGACCCGTTCAGTCGAAAAATGTTTCAGCATAATTTTGATAGCTGCGCATAACTTTGATGGAAATATTAAAAACTGTGAAAGTCTTTATATAAGCTGTGATGAAATTGTTAAAACAGTAGCGGGTCGAAGAAGCCGAGAGTGGCTACCCCCTCCCCAAAAACATTTTGATCGAGCTGGATTTGAACGTTTAATTAGTTTGGCCCATCGGTGGCAGAATTTTGCCGGTCCCTACAATTTTCAGCCTGTTTTGTGGCGTTTTTGGTCAGTAATAAGCAGCGCGGATCTGTTTAGCTTACACCCCCCCCCCCCCATGGTACCTTGTAACGATAGACCCACCCCTGCACTGATCGTTTCGGGGTATTTTTTGCAAGCAGTGGGTCTTTTAATGTGCCAATTTATACGAGGAGCATTAAAGATCAATGCGAAGGAGACGTGAACAAGTTTAAGGCGCGGCTCGTCAATTGGAAGATTATAGTAGCAGACAAGTTCAAAGCACTCAAGCAACTACGAGGTCTTAACGCGAACTTAATTCCAGACACTTCCGTCCCTTATTGTAATCCTCTCTTAATAAATACTATCCACTTAATCCCAACCGCACCCTTTACTTGCAATTGCAGACTAAGTATTAAGCTGTCAGTTTACGCTAAAATGACCAAATAACCGAAGTAGTTGTATAAGTCGCATTAGCAAGTGATATGGTTTCAAGTTCACTTTCGAGTGATTTTTTAGTGATTTGATTTTACCCGAGTCGAGTTCTCGACATGACGTGTTCACCGAAGTGGTCGAACCAGATGTCATAGATCGATCAAGCATCCAGGGTCCAACAGGACCTATTATGGAAGTGAAAGTTGAAGCAAAGCTGAAAAACTTCACAGATCGAAACTTTTGGTCAATTATTGGTGAAACTCAAAGGCCAAGGTAGCGGGATGGAGTTCTTGGGAGTTGGCGTGGTACGGGAGGGGAGGGGAGGGGGATTTGCTGGTTGATTCGATGAAATTCAAAGTTATGGATACTCAGTGCCTCATGTTTTGTCTGCATCATGGTTCGTCGGCCAACCAATCGACCCGAGCATTAATGAATGGAACTTCTGAACAATTATGAGTAGTAAGTGTCACTGGACCATTTGATCTGTTCACTCTTGCTTCAGATGGTCCAATCAGGTGCTCTCTAAAATCAGAAACACTTTGACGATATCGAATCATAGTAGATATTGGGGCATTCATTCTGACATTGTTCTATCATTTGTTCTATCACTTACTATCATCCATCATCCTACGAGATCAGAAAATCTTACTTCACTTGACCGCAAAAATGCTTCACAATTTTAATTTACCAACTTACAAGACTCATTTTGGCCCTCTTTTAGTACTCATCTTATTTTTTACCTGTAAGTTAGACATTTGTGTCCAGGCAGCTTCAAAGGTAAAAGGCGAGCCAGACTTGAAAAGACTGCCTCTCGATGTGTTGCCGACATTTTACGACCTACATCTCATTATCGACTTGAAGACCGATTCCGACGGAGGAGTTATTTTAAGAACGAATGGGTCAGTGAACATCTCAGTTATTGTCAGAAAAGAGACCGACCACTTTTACTTGAGTGTTGGTAAGGGACTGAAGATACACACTGTACATATAGAGCTAGACGACCAACAAATCACCTCTGGAAAACAAGGCGGGATCAATTTTTACAATTTTTCACTTTGATTTATTTCTACATTTTTTGGAGTTTTAGTTCCAACTTGGTGATCGATATAATATGCTCAGTTTCAGATCGTCTATCCTTCCTTATACTCAGGGGCTGATTGAGGGGGGGGGGAGCAGAAGGATTATATTGCTTCATCACCCAAAGGTTTGATACTATATTGAGACATCCATTTTCGATCGGCCGACCTATCTAGCGGCGCCTGTTGCGCCAATATATGGTGATTTTGAGTTTAAGAAAGGGCGCGAAATCTTCCCAAAAGTTAGATTTTTTCTATTTTTCGAGCAAGCATGAATTTATTGAAAAAAATGATAGAGCGCTAGATGAATACTTCAGCTAATAAAATATTTGACAAACGATGGAGGGAATCCCGAATCAGAGAAACCCTGTTCAACAATGAGTTTTCCGATCAAATTTAAAATTAAGTCTAATGTGAACAAGGGTAGACGGTTGCTGAGGATGAAGCGACCACACTGATTCCAGAAAATTAGTCCAAAATAAGATATTAGTAAGAAAAATATTCAAATAGTTTTCAAAAATTTTGTTTTCATTTGTTCCCAACTGAGGTCGATATACATTTTTTGATATACTCCCGGTACCATTGCAGTGGGAGGTCAGCTTCTGAAATGATTTCGTCAGCCTCTCAATAAAACCAAAAAATTTGTCCGGTTAGTTTTTCTCAACAATGAGAAAAATTTATAAGCTTAGTTTTAAAATCCAAAACGCGACTAAAAGGGCTTTAACATGATATCACACTCGAAATTGGCTGGAACAAATAAACTGACATGAATCCGAAATTCCATCTCCATCTTTTAGAGTTTTGGAACAAGTAGCTAAAAAGAACTGAAATTTATATTACTCGAGTTTTGATATTGAGAGCTATAGTCCAATTTGAGTGAAAAACTTGCAAAGTTTGAAAGAATAACTTTATAACCTACAGAATTGCTTTATACAGATACACAGGTGTCTCAACTTTAGTTTTGATCTCGTTAAAATCGAAAAACAAACGAGGATAGCTTGTTGCTGTGCAATTTACACAAAATATTCCGACTCTATTCTTAATAAAACACAAACTAATTTTTTAAGTTTTTTTTTTAAAAGTGAGGTTTTTTTGTGCGTGGTGTGATAAAAAGATAAGGCAAAACCTAAAATCTAGGCATATTTGTCGGCCACAGTGAAAATGCAGAACGAGCAACGGTTTTTGTCAAAAATTTACCAGAAAAAAAAAACAAAATAGAAAACCAAAAATTTTTATGGAATTTTTCTTGTCAATTTTAATGCAAAAATTGTTTTGAAATTATTTTTATTCCAAAATGGCAGTCAAAAAACTTCAATAAAAAATTTACTGGGGTAAAGCTAAGGTTTCACAACTCATCTTTTTCTAATAAGGATGCTCATAAATAGACTTGATCTCAAAAATTTCAAACCGGTTTTTATCGACAATGGTACATATTTTTAAAAAGTCTTAAGGGTCGTTTGAAACACGAATGAAAGAACCTCACTTTGATATTCACTCCATTCCAGCGGATAATAGTTTGGTGCAAAAATTTTTGGTTTATGATCAAAAAAATTTTCAAGCTCACCCTATTCGCTTAGGCCAAAAATAAAAAACTTTAAAAGATTTTCTCATTTTATTAATGTCGTTTGAGTTACGACTGGAAAGGCTGTTTATAATATATCACTCGACCCATTCCGATGATTATTTACTGTACTTGATTTTTTTGTGCAAAACAAAAAAAAAAGAAAAACTAAGCAAAAAAAAATTAAAACACACCCAAATACAAATTTCCTCTCCATTTTCAATGGGTGGAACACTTAGAACAGTTTGAAAACGTCAATAATAAAGCACATGCAACGTAATTTCAGGGAAAAATTTTTTTTCATACCGTAAGCAAATGGATGATTTCTGGCGTTGTATATCATATGAGATACTTGCGCAATCAAAAACCGTTTCTAATAATAATAGTTTTTGGCGTTTCTGCGATTCTTTCTTTTATTTCTCCACAATCCAGACTGAGTTCAGTGGTTGAGTGATGCTCTTTTTCTTAGCGACTCAAGGTCGTTTCTGAATTTTTGTTATGCTATTTTTGTTTTTCTAGGGTGGGAGGCTGTTTTTCAAAAAGTTTTGAAAATTTTGCCGACCTTTTTTATTTGGTTGAACAATTTATTAGGTCGCCTTTAGAAAAATTTTGAGGTTGATCAGCGAAAAAAAAAATGGATGTCATAAAGTTTTACCAAGGGGGACCCTTTAGAAAAACTTGGTAACCAGAATTGAGGGTGGGTCGACCCCCCCCCCCCCCCCCCCACTTGCGCTCTTCCCCTCGGCACGCTACTGCATATGCTAGTCTGAAAACTACATATAGTCTTCTTGCTTAAGGATGCTCTTATGAATCAAATCCAAATTATTTGGACCAAGTTAACATCCTCCCGCCAAATCCGATTTGGGGAGGGTGTTAACTTGGTTCTAAGTTGGGATTTTTCAGCCAATCAATATCGAGCATTTTACATGCTGTGATTAGCAAAATAAGTCGACTAGCTTAAAAATATAATAATTTATTAGACCCCAAATGTTTTAAACCCCAAAAGCAGTTAAACCCCAAAAGCGTGCAGTTAGCAAGCAGACCTAATACCAAAAGTAAAACAAATGGTATATTTTTCATGACGTTTTTTTTAAACTGGTTTCAAGTTATCTTTTAAAATTAAACTAATCAAGGCCTTCAAGTTTCTGAAAGTATCAATTTACCTTTCAATGCTCAAGAAAAATTTCAAAAAAGCATATAATTTCAATTTTTTGTTTTTGCGCACTACATTTACATTTTAGTTAAAAAATGAGTGATTCGTTTTTATGATCCTTACGAACGTAAAATGTTTCCCAGAAACTGTGCTTTTTTTCCCTTTTCCAGTTATTTTCCAAAAGAGGTCTCACAAGGCAAGCTGACAAGCTCTTTTTATCATAAAGTTCTACCAAAATTTTGGTCCTTGAATTCATCATTAAATTTCATCAGAGGATCTCAAATAAAAGTTGATCCCTATAAGATGAGAAAGTGGGCGTGAAACAGTTCAAGGTGCGTGAAAAAGAGTTACGGGCAATGATTGAGATGGACCGAGTTCTGAGAAAGGGTGAACGAATTATAGTTCGCATTCAGTTCACACCCAGCACTGCGCGACAGAAAATGCGCCAAGGACTCTACTACACTCTAGGTACCCAATCAGTTTATTTACACCAAAAAAAAACACTCAACTCCACCCCCCTCCCCCATGATTTCATTTAGGTTAAAATGCTTAAATCGTTTAAATGAAATGAGTCAGATGTAGCTACTTCTGAACACATAATTTGGCAAATTTATGATCAGTTACATTTAAAACGAAAAAAATGAAAGTTAGATTGAAGAATGGGAGAAAAAAATTCGCAATGACGTTGGGGATCAAAAACGTGCTACCCTCAAAGAAACCCTCTGGTCTCTTTTTATTATTAATCAGGGCCCCTTCTATAACGCCATGTACAAAAAGATTTTTTGCGCCTAGAAGGATTAGCTCAATGTTTAAGCATATGCAAACATTGTACCTAGACACTAAATTCCCCTATTGTGCAGGGTAAGGGGGAGTGCAGAATGAAAATATTTGAAGATAGATCCATTATTATGTATTCTTGAGGTTATTGATGTTGTAATTGTTGATTAGGACTAAATCCTGATACCCGAATATCAGCGAACACACATCATGAGCCGATCTATGCAAAGTACGTGTTCCCCTGCTTTGACGAGCCGCTGTTCAAAGCCATCTTCAAAATAGCAATCACCCACCGCCCTGACTTCGAGGCCTACTCCAATATGCCCCTTATGTCACGCACTCCAATTCAAATGACACAACTTTCGACACAACACACCCCAACAGACCTCCAAGCATCAGGTGAAGGCAGGACCGAATTTAGGAGCCGGCGGGGGTGGGGGTACTTTTTTATGATATCCCTTTTCGATCAAACAACTCTAAAAATTTTTAAACGCACTTTTAGTGCCAATTGGGACAAGTACAAAGAGATGTCTTAAAACTGCAACTCCTTTGTCCAGTTTTATGTCTATGTATTACTTTTCGTTTCCGCATGCTCAATGCATCTGGGAAAACTCCAGTAAAAGCGAGGTTAGGCTGAGATGATTCTTATGTCAATCAACCAGTAAAGCGTTTGGTCAGGTGAATGATCAATTATAAAATTTATTTAAGCTTCAGTTAAAAGTCGATCATGATTGGTTACTATTCAATGCATAATCCAATATAAATTTGATGATTCAATATAACACAAATAATGCCCTAAAACTTCATTTTTGGCCTGTTTTTTGAGAAAATTTTCGTATCTTGGCATAATGCGGAAAACCTCCGAAAACATTTGATTGATGATAATGAAATAAATTATTTCCAACCACTAACTACTTACAGAATTATGCAAAAATTTTACAAATACAAATCTGAAACGTTTGTAACAACACCATTAAGCCAGCACGGCTAGTTTTCAGTTACCTCATTAGCGGAGAACAATTACAAATAATTAACTTTTTCTGTCAAATGAATCAATCTACTGGTAAAAAAAAAAGATTTTTGGTTTTCTCGTGTAATCTTTTCTGCTCATAAGCTAAAGACCAACTAAAAAAATTTCTACATATTCCTAGAAAAATTCTCAAAGCGTGCTCAAAAAAACCGTATTTCCTAGAATGTGATCTAATCTTATGCTCGAAGCTGCCTGAAATCACGAGGTACAGGTTTTTAATTAAGAAATTCATTTTTTATACCAATATGAAAACAAAATCAAGCTTTCCAAATGACAAAGTACAAAGCCAGCCATAAATTGTGACTGAGATGTGACTGATGTAAGAATAATCAGACCAACTTTTTATTTTTATCCAGTTATATCATTAAAACTGCACCGTGTTAAAAGTTTTTCAAGAAGAGTTTTTTCGGAATTCTTCGAAAACTTTGTCGACTAAATTAATTTTTCGATGTCCTTTAAAATAATTATGTTCAAAAATTCGAAAAGCAGTCTGGAGAAAAAGAAAAAAATTACAAAACTTCAAATAATTTTTTAGTGCATCCTTGAGATGATTTTACACTAAAATATACCTGACGAGTGGAGCCTGTAGGAACAAACAGTTTCTTCTCACTAAAAAAGGAGACAAAAAAACTGGTTAAAAAAATAGATTTTTCTACAAAGAACTCTAGCGTATGTATGCAATAATAAACCTTGAATTCCTCGATTTGACTTTTATTTCAAAAGGTGATCATCCATTGAAAAGATATAGTTGTGGATAAAGAGTTGATTGTTTTCTTTTCATTGGTTGTTTTTGTATACCGACTTCCAGTCTTTTTCTGATGTTACAGTTTCTAGGTTGCTTTATCGTCTTCAATTATACAGTTATTGAAATATTTTCATTATCGAAAACAAAATGTAATAAAGCCGTAACTCCTCGTATTGCATTAATATCAAGTAATTTCAAAGACATGGGTTTGCTTACATACAAAACTATAATTGATCTCTTAAGTGACGGATTTTATCAAAACTTTCATATTAAAATTATTTTTCTAGGTCAAATTTTTTAGTTTATCTGTTTTCAGCAAATTCCGTTTGTTTACTGAAAACAGTTTTTGATTAAATTAACATCCTAAACAAAAAATTTTTCTGACTTTAAAGTTTGCTGAGATTTTTTTCAAACGTTCTTTGAAATTAGTTTGTGTCATTTACTTTGATCACACACAGTGCTGATTTAAATTATCCGGACGAAACGAACAAAACTTGAATTTTCAAACGCGTTTTTCTCAAATTGGGTTAAGATTAGACAAAAAGTGAAGAGGACAAAAGTTGCTTAGAATTTCACCAGAATTAATATGGTACCATTTTTTCTCCGAAATTCTCAACCAAAATTTTACCCCAAAAATGGGTCATTTTGGCTTTTTTCAAATAATCAAGAATTACGCTGAAACTACTTTGCTAATTGATATGAAAATTATATCACAGGAAGCCTCTTACGCAGCTCAACAGGGGTTAAATCTCCAAAAACCAGTATAAATGAAAAAATTTTCACTTGATAGTCAATAAATGTGATTTTTACTATATAAAACCCAGAATCTCGGTTTAAAAATAAATTTTAAACAATTTGCGCAAATTTTTGGAAATTTAACCCTTCTTAAACTTTGTTAAGCTGCGTAAGAGGCTTCCTGTGATATAATTTTTATAACAATTAACAAAGTAGTTTCAGCGTAATTCTTGATTAATTGAAAAAAGCCAAAATGACCCATTTTTGGGGTAAATTTTTGGTTGAGAATTTCGGAGAAAAAATAGCACCATATAAATTCTGGTGAAATTCTAAGCAACTTTTGTCCTCTTCACTTTTTGTCTAATCTTAACCCAATTTGAGAAAAATGCGTTTGAAAATTCAAGTTTTGTTCGTTTTGTCCGGATAATTTAAATCAGCACTGTATTATGACGAGCTCTTATTTTTAGTCACAACACTCCGAAACTGATAAAGAGACTCTTGATTGTTGAAGTTATATTGGTTTTTCACATTTCAAATTTTATGAATGAAAAGTACTATATCGAGTGTCGAAAATTGTAGAAGGATCAATTGATGTATTTTTAGTTTTTTTTTGTACAAAAAATAACTTCAGTCTATTAAATTCTGTAAAATATACGAAATATACTTTGGTTCTGCAAACTTATGTAAATTACCCGGGATGGCCAAAAATACTAGTCATACAATTTCCCTATATGGAAAAATGCTAGTCATACACTTTCCATACAATTCCATACGTACAAAAAATTGCATGAAAGGTCTATGAGTAGTATTTTTTCATGTATGGAAATTGTATGACCAGCATTTTTCCATAAACCAAAAATATTAATTTTTCACATTTAAATTTCTGAAAATTTTTTGGTTTTGCTCGTAACCGAACACAAATGACACAAATGACATAAACCTTGATTACTCAAACGTGGTAACCAACGGTTTTGCCGCCTCGCATTAAAAACGCATTGGAAACAGCCTGATATGTGTTACTTCTGTCTCAGACAAATAATATAACAAAAGTAATGAACTTTAAAAATTTGGCACTAATTTTCAAAGATGATTATTTCTAAAACATGAATTTTTAAATTACCAGACATACAAAAACATGTCATACAAAAGAAAGAGGATTTTTAAGCGTTTTTGAAAAAAGTTATGAAGAGAAAAGGAAAAAAAATTCATTATTAGCATATCCAGGACTACGTTATACACAAAAAAAATTAAATTTTGCATGCAAAATTTTTTTTCTTCAAAAAATGTTTGTTTGATTACGGAAATCAATTTTTTATGAAGAGATACCAATTTCGATACCAAAACAACTATAAATTACCTTTGAAATTCGGTTAAACTCATTTTGCAAAAATGTATGAAATTGCATGATTAGCATTTTCGGTCTATGGAGGTCAACCCGGGTAAATTGATTTTCGTTCAGTACCTAGTACTAAACAAAATGATAAGATACGTTTCTGCAGAAGTTTTTCATAAATTTTGCTAATAAGTGGCAACTGTTTATAATTTGCTGATAAATGGTAATTGTTCTAATCAAACGTTAATCAAACGTTTTACTCGTTTGATTTCCTCAAGCAGGATCGTTTTTTTATGGGTTGCATAATATTTGCAAACTATAGGAAAGCTGGGCAACACTCTCTCTTCTCTCAATTGAAAATTTTTCTACAGCACAGAAGTGCACCATTATTTTTTTTGAAAGTAAAGAGTAAGAACCTCAGAGTAATTTCCTAAAAATGCTTCAAATTTTTCATCGTTAGCAGGATTGACTTCCAATAACTCTGATTTCCGTCTCTCAGTTTAGATTTTTATTTTGTGCCAGCTTTTTTCGCCATGCCGAATCAAAGAAATTAATAAATTTATTGGCTAGTGTTTTCAACCCTTCGTGTTTTTATCTTTTATTGCTTTGGAAAAATAGCGACTTTTAAAAATTAATTTTTCCCTCTCAAAACATTTTCAGCTGTTTTTTGACGGTCTTCATTTTTTTTGTCCTGAATCTAACTAGACGGAGCAATTTTTGGTACATAGTTTTTTTAAGGTTGCCTTTTTATATACTATCGATCCAAATAGCAGCTGTAGCTGTGTTCAATTGAAATCATACTAACATTGTGAGTGTTTCTATTTTGCAATTTTAAAAAAAACTGCTAACACTTCAAAAAAAATTTCAAAATTTATTAGCTTTGCTTTATATTTTATCGTTTTCATCTCAATTGTTAAAATTTTAGCTCTAAAAAAACTAAGTGTAAGTGCTTTAAACACTGGTTGATCCTATTTTCTACATGAACTTCTAACTTTTGAGTAAGTTATCTTAGGGTTTGAAGTACTAAAACTTTTCATGTTTTTAAGAATATTTAACAGTAAAAATTAAAAGTGTTTGTTCCGACCGTTGAAACAGGGGAGGAGCTTTGTATTCGGGTTTGTTTTCATTTTTTTTGTGTTATACGCAGAATCAGGTACCACAATTAATCTTCGGACGTTTCCGACTGAAACATGCAGAGAAACAACCGCTCGAAATTTTTTTTCATCTATTTCTGAGCGAATAAGGTGGTAAGTAGGTGAAAAATAACCCTTTTTATGCTTAAGTTAAGCCGTGAAAACTTAGTTCTACTCGACTAAAACTACTTTATGAAGTTTTATTGCGCTGTTTTAGAAAACAACAAACTTATGACTAAAAATTTTTAAAAATTGATTGGTTGAACTTTTCGAAAAATGTTTTCCAATATGCCTATTTTTTTTATCAGTTTCAAACAATGTAACTTTTGAACTTAAAGAAAAGTTATTCTTCAATTTTCTTAAGAAAATGGTCGGAGCATTGTGTGCTACTATTACAGTGTCCGGCTATGCTTGTTATGTTTTGCTTGTTTGTTTCATAATATCGAAGACCCTAGGCCACGCTAAACCTTTTGTATTAGCCTTTTAGTGCTAAATGGTCAACGTTCAACCAAGTTTTTTAGTAACTTGGAAAAAAATAGAGCTTCTGAATTAGGTTTTTATATAGAGACCTAACGATAGTGTCAAACTTTTTTTTGAAAATTAAATTCATTTTCTGTCGGATTATTGCACCGATATAAATTAAGCCAAAGGCTGTTCAAAGAAGATTATTAAAAATGTTCAACGCTGGAAGCTGCGAAAATTCACTATCAAGTTATTATTTTTTGGTTAACTTTTAAAACTGAAATAGTCGCAAAAAAACACGTTCGTCTAACTTTGTAACGCTCTCTAAAATACCGGAAAAGTAATTTGCAAAGAACATTTTTTCCTAAGTTTTAGCTGTCACTCAAAATTTTGTAAAAAGCACATAAAGTTATTTTTTCAATTAGATAAATCTTTGTTTTCTAGGCTTTCAAAAATCCTTATGTTGAATTAATACTACTGGTTATAATAGTAATCATTTTTAAAAAATTTAAAAAAAAACTAAGCTCATCATAAAAATTGATGACTTCTACATCAAGCTAGCTATTTGTTGGTGAATTTCAGATCCCGATAAAATAAGATAGGGTTTGAAAAAACCTCCATGCAAACTAGTGCTTTTCCCGAAAAATCTAAGGGTACATTCACCAGCATCCACTTCGTAGCATCGGAATCTTGGTTCTTTATGCTTAAGCAGTAGCGGATTTAGGGTGGGGGGGGGGGGGGCGGACGCTGCTTTCAGGGATTCGACCCCCTGCCGACCCAAAGGGTCCCCCCTTTGTGCTATTTTGAGATATCCTTTTTTGGCTGACTGACCTTAAAATTTTTCTAAAGGCGCTTTTGGCGCCAATCTAGACTAATTTTGAGGGGGAGCGCGCCGACAAAACGCAATGTTTTGGTCGAAATTTTTCAAAAAGTGCATAGAAACGCCTTTTCTGGCTTGTTTTTTTTCACAAATTTGCCTGCGGCGCAGAAAATTCTGTCAAATTGGGGTCTGTATACTGATTTGGGAGAGCTCAGAAATTCAATGTGGTTGACCTAAAAAAAAAAGTCGTCGTCGAAATTTTCATAGATCCGAGAAATTCATAGATCTGCACCTGTGCTCAAGGAATCTTTCTTGCTGCAATTTATCTGAGCCCTGATTCGTTTCAAAAGTGCCTCGAATAGATTTAGTAGTTCTGACTTTAGAGTCCATTTCGTTGTTACCATCTTTGAGTTTTGCAAATTAGTCCTTAAATAGAGTTGTTGTTTCGTTAGAGTCATTGTTCACAGGTTCATCCCTTTTCCTAGTAAATCTTCGAACGGACCAATGATGAATGATACTGATAACTCAATAAAACTTAGTCGCATCAAAACTTCAAGTGTTAAGATCACTGGGTTAAGGTCACATAATTTAGTTTTGAAAGCAAAACATCAAGGACGAAAAAAGAATAAACTTCCTGCATGCTCTTCATAACCCTAAACAAAATTCGATTTTGCCAACAAAAAAATGCCCCGTAGAGAAATTTTTGCAGAAAAATGGCCAAAAATGACTCATTATAGCAGTTTTTGAAAAATGTCTTGATTTTTATAGCTGGATAGATATATTAATAATACGAAATCAATTTATTTTCAGAATCAGAACGAGGGGGCATCGATACAAGAGATGAGCAAACGATAGTGAGAGCAAGGGACGGGGGATGGAATGGCACCACGTGGTATAATTCTACAAACGAGGAGGGGGAGCAGGGGGAAGAGGGGGAGGAGGGGGAGGAGGTGGAGTGGGTGCGGAGTGAGTTTGGGGCCAGTCCCAAAATGTCCACCTACTTGGTCGCTTTTACTCTCTTCAACAACATGACAAAGTTACAGTCCAATTACACTAGTATAGATGGGAGAGTGGTGAACCTAACTTATCACGTGGAACATTGGATGGCGGAGAATGCAACGCTGGTCCTGGAAATAAGGCATACACATCAACTCATCACATCAAAGCTTTAGGAAACCATTTGTACAAAAGTTGGCTGCGCCGCACGCCATGTTCTGGATTTTTTGAAACGTTAAGACAAAAAAATGACTTTTCTGTCCCCCTCCACAAAATTATTCTACATGAGAGCTGAAGTCAACTCTAGAGCAAGTTTTCGGTTAGTTAGCTAAATGATGGAATTTTGCTTACTATTGCAACCCCCTATTGCGAAGGGGGCATTTGTAACAAGGCACAAAATTCACTAAATATGCTTAACCGTTGAACTTGTTCTGCATGGGATGGCAATTCTTTACTATGTACCATAGGGGTTTGGAGGGATTGTTAATGAACATGATCCAAAAAATGTCATACTGCTACTGCAATAGCAGTAATCGCGTGATGTAATAATAACCTTCAGTAGTATCAATTATTATTATTATGTGGTGTCCAAGGACACGCGTTCAGAGACATTGGTACACGGCTGAGAGCTCAGAGTTTGAATCTGCTGTATCACTCTCAGTGACTATAAAATAGACAGAGAAAACAATTAATTCAAACAACAAAGAATTTATTTTTGAATTATCACTAGTTTTCCAACAAGATACCGTATAGGATATCACAACTATGCACCATAGGGTTTGGGGGGATCGTTAATGAACATGATCCAAAAAATATCAATATACCGTGGCAATTTAAAATCTATTCGAGCGATTCCTAATGGCAGTAACTGTAAAAGAAAATGTAAGCCCGGAAGTTATGTTGAAGGAACCAAAAGACATCTTAGAAGAACCCCCTCCACGACCAGAAACGCCACGAGAGGGAGAGAAAGAAGCTGTGACGATAGCCAGAAATCTTAGAGACAAGCTAGCAAGAGATCGAGTAATGCTGGAAAATGAGGAGAGAAGAACACGGGGCCCAAGGGTTGGACACAATGTTTTTTATAATGAGGTACAGAAGAAGCTTGTATCCAGATTATTCCTCTCTCTAGGGACTAAAGGAAAGAAGAGGTTTTTGCAGAAAAATCCACACGCCGAAATTTCCAAAATGTCGTTCAGGGACATTACAGAGCTAGCAGCGGTCTCGTTTCAAAAGGTAGAGTGCGTGACTTATGAAAGATATAAATTGTTCACACGAATGCAAGAATCCGGGGAATCACTGGAGGCATTCCACGCAGCATTAACTGCTCAAGAAGCCAGATCAGAACTTGGAAAACTGGAACGTAAGATAGTTCGTGACCTATTCATTTCGAAATTGAAAAATATGACGTTGCAGGATACACTGACATTTGAAACGCTAGATCCAGAGAAAGTGTTGAAGAGAGCTATAAATTTTGAACATAGCAAATTGACTACAAGGGCATTTCAGAAGACAAATGCAGCAGCAACAGTAGGAACGGGCAACAACTACAACTCTGGGGTGAGAATAAAACAAGAACCAGTGATGGCTGCCAGGAACTCAAAAGGAAACACAAAAAATCAACAATATAAGAGGGAAGCGAATAAACGACAAAATAACAACACCAATGGGAAAACAAAACCATGTAATAGATGCGGAAGAGCATTTGACCAGGGACATCTAAAAAGCTGCTGGTCGGCACTGGCCAAAATTTGTAAGAATTGCGGAAAACCCAACCACTTTGCAAAACTGTGTAGATCTCAACAAGTGATTAAGTCACGGAAGCATCCGAAAGATCAGAAGAGGAATGTGATCCTATAAGAGACAACTTCGGCTCATGCAGTGATTTTGAAGTAATGTCAATACAAACACACCGGCCGGAGAACGAAAGAATCTCGAAATACGTGGGCGATAGAATAAATGAAAGTAATATAAAGTTAAATGGGGAAAAGATAAGAGTTCAAAAAATTGACTTACTCCAAGACCCAACGTCGAACAGGGTAAAATCACTAAAGGCCATGTTGAGAATAGATAACCAAATCATACAACTGACGGTAGAATCCGGAAGACCCAGTCTCTTTCTTAAATTGGGCGACGACAAAAGAAATAATCGATAAATCAAACAAAGCAAGATTCATTCCGTCCGATAAACTGAACTTGGCTACCCAGTTCGTCGACTACAATTAACAACCAATCTGTGTATGGGGGGCATTGAAGACAAATTTTCGTTCGGCAGGCTGAGAGGTGAAAGGAGCCACTTTTCTGGTGACGGAACGTAAAACCAGTTGCATAATGGGATTGGACTTACAAGGACAAGTGGGGATCGCCACCACACAAAAACCAGCTCCAAAATAACTGTCCAGGTTTGACGTGGTCATGTGCGAGCAGTCAGAAGGTTGGAAAAACAAACTCTTTGATAAATTAAGAGATTTGTTTGATAGAATAGGAATCTCAAAAAAGCACATTGTATGTTCAAAGTTCAAGTACCCTCTATGTCCGATTCAAGAAAAGGGGAGAAGAATCCAAATTCATATTCAGGACGAGGTAGAAAAAGAAATTGAAAAAATGTTGACAGAAGGTCATATCACAAAGCTGGACAAAAATACAAGTGATTGCTTTATAGCCCCAATTGTAATAACTTTAAAAAAGGACGACTCGAGAAAATTGACGAAGGACGCAAAACCGATAAACAGTCATTTGTTCAAAAATAAGTACCAAAGGCCCAATGTAGATGAACTCATAGATGGGGTAAGCCAAATCGTTACAGAAAACAAAAAGGGCACACTTTACTTCACAGTGTTGGGTTTAAAGTACGCGTATAGCCAGTGAAAATTGGCTGCAGACACAGCTAAACGGTGTAACTTCAATATCGTTGGTGGAAAGGCAACCGGGGCTTTATAGATTCCTTAAAGAGTTCTATGGATTAGCAGACATGCCAGCCGAATTTCAAAAAGCTATGGACAGAGTTATTAACCACGCAAAAAACACTTTTTGTTTTTTGGACGACATGCTCATTGTGTCAAAAAGTAGTGGAATAGAACATGAAAAATTAGTAGAAACGGTACTGAACAAATTGGATGATGAAAATGTGGCATTAAAGACTTCGAAATGCGAATTCTTCAAAAACCAGGTGAACTGGTTGGGACATCGCCTTTCGGAGCCAGGGGTCAGTCCAAAAATTACTAAAACCGAAGCGAAACAAAATCTAAATCCACCAAAATTGCTAAAGCAATTAATATCATTTCTGGGTAGTATAAATCATCTAGCAAAATTCATAACCAACACGGCAAGCTTAACAGAAACTTTGCGGCCACTTCTCAGAGAGGAGAATCAAAAGAAAAAAGCTGAAAAAATGAAACTACCAGTATAGAAACTGGAGTGGGGGGATGAGTAAACTACTATGACGCTAATCGTGAAACAAGAGTTAAATGTGACGCAAGCCACAATGGTTTGGGGGCTACATTAGAACAACAAACAGATGAAGGATCGTGGGTTCCGATGTCATTTGCATCCAGATACCTAAATATACAAGAAAAAAAACACTCAACAAATGAACTGGAGTTATTTGCAGTTGTTTGGACAGTTGACAGATACAAACATTACCTTCTAGGTAAAACATTTACCATCGCAACAGATCACAAAGCCCTAACATCAGCCTTAGATGGGAACAAGTAAAAACAAACATATCAATCCCGATTGACCCGGTGGGTCGATCAACTGTTGCCATATCAATTTAAAATAGTTCACATTCCGGCGAGGGACATGGGGATAGTCGATTATTTATCATGATGAATATAATGATCCTTGGCCCGAATCAGAATTAGACGAAAGGTTTGTAGTGGCAACAATAAACTCTTTTCGTGAAGCAATATACTGCATGAGCAGTAGACTAGAAAGCACTGGGTCGCTCAACCGGAACGAAAACGTTCTAAAACATTCTAGAAGGAATGTTGCTAAACAGTCAACGCTTAGTGGTTGCTATGGGATAAAAAACAACTTTCGCGACCGTACAAACAGCTAAACAGCAGCTCACAAAGAAAACAGATCATTTTTTCTTCATTTCAACTCAGTAAACAGTCGTGGCAAGAAACTGCAAAAACAATTCAACAATCAGTCAAAAAAATTCAGAAAAAAAACAGACTCAAAAAAGGAGATGTCAGAAAATTTCAATCGTTCATACGACTCGTGGTCGGATACACCACAGGAATGGAAAAATGATGACAGAGAGGAGAGCATTCTGGACCCGAAGTGGAATAGCTCCCTGTCGAACACAAACGAATTGTCCGAAGAGGAGGAGGTTACGGAGACACTGCAACGCACAAGAAAAATAATTCGCGGAGGTCGCAAAAACAGAGACAGCTCGGACAGCGAGACAAGAATACAATCAAGAGTCAAATGCCAATTGCAACCGGACCAACAAAAAGAGGCGGACAACAGGCTACTTTCGTTCTGGCAATTGATCGGTGGAGAATCAAAAACTACAAGAAACATCAATCGGGAATTAGTGGCAACATCGGAAGAGACCGATAAAGCTCCGGAGGAAACCGATCAAGTACCAATCATTATCACACCGGCTCATCCAAACGAAAGAAAGTTGAACGATGTTCAAGTAATCGAGGTGGATCTGAAAACCACAGAAGACACGGATAGCGACCAAGAGGTGTGCGCAATTGAACCACCCAAAAGCTCCATTAAACAAAAGAAACAAAAGCTGCAGAAACAGCAAACGGAGGAGTCACTGGACAATCTCTCCAAATTGTTTGATAAAAGTCTCCTGGCAGAATTGACTTCCGAGGACACGTGGATGGACCGCCTCAGACGAGTCATAGAGAGAGGAGACAAACAGGGCGTCGAGCTGCTGGGACCTATACGAATCCATTGTGGTCGCAGATGGCGGTGCAGGACGATTGCATTCTGGTGAACAATAGACTGGCAGTACCTTTTCAACTGAGACAAGCTGTGGTCAAACGAATTCATCGGGGGCATCCGGGTCAAGAGGCTATGCTAGGAGTGTCACAATACCTGTGGTGGCCGCATATGCATAAGGACATAGTGAACGTCGCGGAAGAGTGTGGTAGTTGCACCAGATATGGTAAGAACGTAAAATATCTCATTCCAAAAAACGCGTCAAAACCACTGCGACTGCTCACGCAACCGCGCCAAAAAGTACAATTAGATTACGCGGGACCGTTAGAAAACCACCGAGGAAAAAAGATCTACCTTCTAGTAGCTATAGATAGATTCTCGAAATTTCCTTCGGTAAAGGCCACTAAATCAACAAGTGGAAAGGGTACGGTAAAATTCTTGAGATCATTTATAGACACACATGGCATTCTGGAATCAATACGATCTGACCAATTTTCAGAAAACACTCAAAAAGTTTTGCACTGATATTAATATCGAACAAAAATTCTGTCCGGTGGGTGATCATCGGTGTTGCGGTCTAGAAGAACGAATAATACAAACCATAAAACGGAGATTGGTTGTAATATTGTTAGAAGAAAACAACTGATCGATCAAACTATGTCTTAGTACCATAATGCGAGAGTTACGGTGGAACAAGCAGAAAACTATTCTATTATCTCCTTTCCAGGCACATTTCCGCAGACTTACAAAAAAAACGAGTTTAAAATCTTACGTGATAAGTTTATAAACAATTCTGACTATTTAGACAAACAGCATCTGGAACGATCGGCGCTAACGGCATCACAGCTAAAGCGAAGAATTGACCAATCTCGGGAGAATCTGAAGATAGTCAGAAAAGGGGAACTCAACAGGGACACCAGCCCACTGCATAAACAGCAAGTACACTCAGACAGGGATCGTCAGAGAGCAAAATCTCTCAAGGAGCTACTTGAAGCGAACGCGCGCTGGAACGAGGAAAGGAAAGACGCAGCGAAAAACGACTTACGTCGGATTGTCGATGAAACAGGCCTATCTAACCCAGAACTACAAAAAGAGATGATCTACTCCTGGGAGAAGGGATTCTTTGAGGATACGGAACAGGATGATACGCAGTCTCCGAAGAAGAAAATTTTGCGTAAGGACGAATTACGTAAGAGTAGCCAAGCGCTCACAAAACCGCTAAAGGGGAAAATATCGACAGAAACGGGTTTGACAGTCAAAACGTCGACAGGATCAATCCATCAGAAAATCGGATATCGCTCAAGCGAAAATTTGCTTGCCACAAGAAAAAGCGCGGAGCGAAAGCAAAAGTCCATCGGCGGAACCACACAAAAAGCTTCTAAGAATCAGTTCTCCAGAAAAATTAGAGGACAATGATTCGGATGAAGAACTACGACGGGCCGTGGAACTAGCAGATTTTGTGAACCCGGCGAATTGGTTCCAACAAAACCAAACAGTCATAACTTCAAAGGACACGGAAGCTGGAGGGGGTCTAAATCTTACCATCAAACGAGCGAAGCCAAATTCAGTGGGTCCTAGTTCGATGCCTGGACCTAAAACTCAGGAAGAGGTTGCATTAAAAAAATCAGAGAAAAAGACGAAAGGCAAGAAACCAGACAATAAACCGGAAAAATCGCCCAAAAAAACTGCTACCGCAGTCGACCAGAGCAACGAACAATCAACATCCACTTTGGATACCTCGAATAAAGACGTTCAATCGAGCTCCACTCCAAAAAACAAACAAAAGGTCAAACTGAAGAAGACAGACTCAGAAACACGACCTGAGGAAATCCTCGACACATTTCAAAACCAAAACCTGGCACCAGCGGAGTTGGAGAATTTTGCGGACCAATTTCTCAAGAGGGGGGGGGGTTCAAAATGTCGCGGACGATCTCAGAGGACATGTACAGCCAGCATCTGAACGGGATACGAGACTTGAGCCTCCTCAGGAGGTTTCAGCCGATTCTAGCGCCGAAGAATCGGGAGTCCGACGAAGCTCAAGACAGACTAAGAGTAAAGAGCCAAAACGGTTTGGGGACCCAGTCAAACATTCCATTAAGGAAGTATCGGAGGAGTTGTCAGGGGGAGCACTTCTCTAGGCCGCACTCCAGGAGTACCGAAGAAGACTAACGGACTTTCAAGAACGGAGCGACAGGCCTAGAGAGTCCAAATTACGCCTACTGGAAAGACACTTATTCAGGAGGAAGTTCGGCTACGCAACGCTGGACAAAGGAATAAATTGGAATCCTCGCTGGAGAATCGACCTGGAAGAAAACTAAGGAAGTTTAAAGTCTGCAATTAAAAACTCTTCAATATTTGGGAACTCTTTGTGAACTGAATGTATAAAACTCTTAAAAGTATAAATTATTTCATATATAGAAAAATTTATTTTCCACTCGAGGGGGTATGTCATACTGCTACTACAAAAGCAGTAATCGCATGATGTAATAATAACCTTCAGTAGTATCAATTATTATTATTATGTGGTGTCCAAGGACACGCGTTCAGAGACATTGGTACACGGCTGAGAGCTCAGAGTTTGAATCTGCTGTATCACTCTCAGTGACTATAAAATAGACAGAGAAAACAATTAATTCAAACAACAAAGAATTTATTTTTGAATTATCACTAGTTTTCCAACAAGATACCGTATAGGATATCACAACTATGCACCATAGGGTTTGGGGGGATCGTTAATGAACATGATCCAAAAAATATCATAAAACAGTGACAAAGGGTTTTTTGTTTTTGAAAAAAGGAAGTTGTTTGAGTGGAATTTGAGTGAATGCGATGAGAATGTTCAATTGATGTGTGGTGATGTGATGTAATGTGGTGTAGCGTGAGGATCTTTGAGTTGCTGGAGAAATGGTTTCGGATCCCTTACCCTCTGCCCAAGTGTGACTTCTTCGTCACCTCAATCCCCGCCTTCGCCATGGAGAACTGGGGCCTCATCTCCATGTCCAACAAACTGTTCGGCTCCCATATGTTTGACAAGATCCACATCTCCTTGATAATCGCACACGAAATTGCCCACCAGGTAGCTACACCATACAATCACAACCTTAAATGTTCTGTTAAATTTTTTTTCAGACTAGAATTTTCCAAACTAGAATTTTTCAAACGTATATTTTTTCAAACTTCCAAATAGACGTAAGCCCAGGGGCGGATTTAGGGGGGAGCGGGGGCGGGGGCTGGACGCTTCCTTTTTAGGGATTCGACCCACTTTCGACGCAAAGGGTCCCCATTGGCCAATAGGCCCTCAAATTTTTCTAAAAGCGCCTTGGACGCCAATATATAAATACTTTGAGGGAGAGCGCGCGCCGAAAAAAACGCCATTTTTTTGTCAAATTTTCCACAAAGTGCCCAAAAAAGGCTTTTTTGACCTGTTTTTTCAAAATTTGCCTGCGGCGCAGACCATATGGCCAAAATAGCGTCTTTTTAGTGCTTCAGGAGAGCTCCTAAAATCAATTTGGTCGACCTACAAAAAAAGGTCGTCAAAATTTTCGAAATTTTTTTAAAATCCGCTGCCTCCTCAAGAAAATCCTAAATCCGCCTCTGCAAAAACCATTACGAAAAAGAAACGATGCTATGAGTAGACCTTATTCTGAATCATAGAATGAGCTCTGACAAAGCTCAGAAAAGAACCAAAAAAAGTTAATTGTAGATCTTAATCAGGGGCACAACAGCGGTTCTCCGTGAAGAGCTGAACATCTCGTGTTTTGGTTTTTTCTTTTTTGTGGATAAATTGTCTTGAAACATATTTTTGAGCACCAATCCGAGTAATCAAACTATTCATCTTGGAATTCAAAAAAAGCGAAATCTTTATGATTATATCAATAATCCTATGAAATGGCTAACTACCAGGTGACTTAACGCAAAGCAAATAATCTGGCAACTAAAATCGTTTCAAAACTGAAGAAAAAACGTTGCTTACCTTCTTCTGCTTTAAATATGCTTAAAATAGGTTGTCATAATAGTTATTTTTCTGAACTTCAAACTAAAATCGTTACAACTTTATAACAAAAGCAGATAGATAGGTAAGATTTAAAATTTTTTCAATTGAAGCTATTTCCCTATTTCAAGTTCAAATTTGGCGCTTTGCAAATAAAAGTATTGTTTTTGGTACTTTTTCAAAACAACGTAGAAATTTTTTTATAGTTATCTCAACAAAATTTTTGAGCTTTGCTGTACAAAAAAAAAGTTTTTTCTTTTCCAACATCTAGATTTTCATTTGGCTATAATTTGCAGCAAACCAAAAGTTACATCGTTTTTCAGCTAGCTAGAAATATCATAGGTTTAGGGAATTTCTTACAAAAAAGCAGATTAAAAATATAGTATTCTGAGAAAAACCATGCTGTATTTAATTATTTCATCGAATTTTTTGCCAGAATCCAAAAAAAATTATTAAGATAATCCCAAATTTTCCTCCAAAATGAAATTTGTTAATTAGGAGACTAAAATTCAAAATCAGAGAGTTTTTTTTCAATTTGAACGATAATAAAACCAGCTATTCTTGATTCAGAAAGTTATTTCTTCTACGAGGAAAGAAATTAGTCACCAGAAGACTCACAGAACGTTTTTTTTATCAAAAGAGAAATTTCAAACTTGTAATTTTTTGTGATATTTTTTTATTAAAACGAGTTTGCATTTAGTTATTAAAGAGGGTTTGCATTTAGTAACATTATTACATCATCAAAAGGATTAGTTTTGCTTGTTTTTTGACCGTATCCAAAACTATTTAGCTTTCATTGAAAATTCTAAATGATTTAATTTAGTTAATAAAAAAAAACATCTCAATCGTGTGCTTAGTACTCATAACTCCTCAAAAATATGTGACATAATTAATGAGGCTGAGAATGAATAGTCAAAACCAGGAAAATGTTGTTTCCCATCCATATCAGGACTTTGAATACCCGGGTCGAGGTTTGTAGTTCTTGTTCCGACCGTTTGACTGAATATCCTTAGACAAGCAAGACTTTTAGTGCGACTCACAGTCAAAACACAAAACTGATCGCAAAAGATCGGACGCTAGCCCAAAGTGTAGAGCCGCAAAACTGCTCGTATATCAGGGTTTAAGTCGTAATATTTCGATGGTCTTGTAATCAAACATGTGGAACCGACCAGGATCAACCGTACAATTCCCCCCCCCCCCCAATCGATTTAGGAGGGAGAAAATATGGATTTTTCAGGAAATAACTATGAGTAAAATTGATTGAATATACTTTAGTTTAGGTTATTTACAGCATTCAAATGCAATCCCACAAAAAAATTTGGACAACCATATTTATGTGCGCGGTTGTTCGAAATGCACATTATACAAAATTAATTTTCAAATTTAATACGTGGTTAGGGGGAAATTCTACGGCTGGTCATTTAGGGGGGAGATTGTACGGTTGATCCACCGATCAAACTTTCAAAAAAAATGAGCCGACGGAGATTATGGGTGGAGCCACATAGTTTATGTTGTCGTTGTTGATGTTTTTACAGTGGTTTGGGAATCTGGTGACGCCTACGTGGTGGACTGACTTGTGGTTGAAGGAGGGGTTCGCCTCCTACCTCTCCATCCTCCTCACCCAACACATGAACCAAGAGGAGAGGCTGAGCATTATGCATCTGACAGAGATACTGGGCACTGCGAAGAGAGACACTTTGGACAGAGACTCACTATCCACATCCAAATCTGTCTCCAGGTTCAAATATACTCATAGCAACAATAATAATAATCATATTAATCATAATCATAATAATGTTAAAAATCATAATAATAATCACCCGCATCCAGTTTCAAGCGTTAACAATCAATTACATTACGATTTTAGTACCAGTTTTACTGAAATTGAGAAAAAAAATCAATTTTAATTAAATAATAATCGATTATAATCTCTGTTTTTAAAATCAAACTATAATTAATTATAAACCACTAAAATCGATTGTTTATTCGTCTATTTTTCGATACAATTATAATCAATTATAATTGAGTATAATACATTATTTTTATTCAAATTTCTAATAAATTAGTTTTGCACAAAAATCCGATATAACTGATTATAATTGATTATAATCCATTTTGTTTGCCTATTGTGTCTTCGTAGTTGCATTTTAATTGCGTAAATTTTATGTTTTTTGTAGACGTTGAATCCTATGAAAAATGAGAAAATTTTCCAATCAATTCAAATTTATAAAGTTTTTTTTCTCATTTCTTCCCCATTAGGGTTGTTTTGTGATAAATATTTTAGGCTTTTTTAACCACTAAAACATCAGCAAATTGATTTAGTTTCATGATTGATTCGTAAGATTTATTTTTCATCTACCGCGGGAACCTTTCCACTAATATGAAAAGATATCTTTGAAATTTTTGCTTCGTGGTAAAACTTTGTGTTCAGATGAACCAAAAACCAACGTGTTCATGAGATATCTCTTTTAAAGATTTTCTTATTGACACAAAAATAATAACCCTTTAGATAAAATTCGAATATAGTTTTGAATTGATAAAATTTTGGCAGAATAAGAGATTATAATCGATCATAATCGATTATAATTGATTTTAAGGGGTTTTTGTAAGAACTATAATCAATTATAATCGGCTATAAGAAATTATAATCTCTTGGAAAATATCACGATTATAATCAATTATAAATCTTTTAAACACCTAATTTTGGTAATTATAATCAACTATAAATGTCAAAAATCACCATAATAATCCATTATAATCGATTACTTACGCCTAAACTTGAATGCGGGCATCATAAAAATCTTCAAAATAGTAATCATAAGAATTTTTATTATATCATAATAATCAAAAAGATAATCATAATAATCTTAACAATTTTAATGATCATAGTATTCATAATAATCACAATAGTCAATACGAAGCCAAACCGTGCACTTTGTGAATTGTAAGTGGATTCCGCAACAATGACGCTCCCGTTGTTCTTCTTTTGTCTTTCATTTTCTTTGATCGTTCCGACAAAAAGTTAACATGTTTAAAATTTTGTCTCTGGAATCCAGTAACAAACAAACACAAATTTGTGCGCCTATCCAGTGCACACTTTGCCCTCGTAATAGTATTAATCATAATAAAAATCATTATTATAATAAACATGATTATTCTGTTTATTATTATCATAATAATCATAATAAACAAAATATTAAGAAATAATCACAAAAATAATCAAAATAATCAATATAATCATAATAATAGTTATATTAATCATTATATTCTTGATTTTTTACAAAGATCATACTCATTAAAAACATCATGATAATCAGCATTGTAATCATAATCATAATAATCGTAGTCATCATAATGATTATAAGGATAAAAAATCATAATAATCATAATGATAATACAAAATAAAAATTATAATAATCCTAATAATACTAGTCATAAATTAATCATAGTCATCATTATAGTCATATTCATCATAGTAATCTTGACAAAAATCATCATAATAATCATTTAAAAAATCATACTTCAAAAATCACAAATCAAAATCATAAATCAAAAATCAAAAACCATAACCGACAATCATAATAATCATAATGAAAATCATTTTGATAATTGTAATCATAATAAACATCATAATCATAATCTTAATAATCATGATCATACTAATCTTAATCATCATAAAGATCAAAAAAGTCATAACAATCATAGTAAAAACACAAAATAAAAATTATCATAGTCATAATAATCATAATTATCATGAAAATCATAATCAACAAAATAAACATGACAATGATAATTATAATAACCATAAAAAAGATAATTATCATGAGAAAATCAACCATAATCATAAAAATATAATCGTAATAATCAAGATAATAGTAATCATTAAAAACATAAAAAACATCATCATACTCATAATCATAATAATCATTTTGACCAGGGGCGGATTTAGGGGGGGGGGGGCGTGGATGGCGGATGCCCCCCCTCAGGGAATCGACCCCCTTTGTTGTATTTTGAGATATCCATTTTTGGCTGACTGACCTTAACATTTTTCTAAGGGCGCCTTTGGCGCCAATATATTATAACTTTGAGGGGGAGCGCGCGCCAAAATAAAACGCATTTTTTTAATCAAAATTTTCCAAAAAGTTCCCAAAAACGCCTTTTTTGACCTGTTTTTTTTTAAATTTGCCTGTGGCGCAGAAAACTTGGCTAAAACAGCATCTTTTTAGTGCTTTAGGATAGCTCGGAAAATCATTTTTGTCGACCTAAAAAAAGAGCGTCAAAATTTTTGAAAAAAATCCTCCCCCCCCCCTCGCTCGAGAAAATCCTAGATCCGACCCTGATTATGATCATAAAAATAGCAATCATAATATTATTTATAATAATGATCATAATCATAATACTACAAACATTCTAATAAAAAAAATCATAATTTGATTTTTTCGAACCGATATAATCTTATACATCGGATATAAAGTATAGATCAATTGTACCTAGTCCTAGAGTAAATCGAAAGGTTTAACTCATACCTGTCAACCTGTCGAGCGATGTCTCAGAAAGCAGAACATTTATTTTAAGTGTCAAGACACTTGGATTTTAAATTATTATGATAAACTTTTCTGTTGATTCAACTTTGTTTTTGTTCAATCATAGTTAATATTAGTTTGCTGGCAAGGACCAAGTTAATTTCCTCTCCAAAAAATACAGCAAAAACTCCAAAAATACTAATTAAGGATCTATCCTTCAATCGCCCAGTTTAACATCTCCCCACAATAAACCAAGTTAATATCCTCCAACAACTCCAAAAAAAATTTTTCGATTAAATTTATCTAGTGCTGCTTGTTAATAGGTTAGGCTTTGATTGGCTGAAAATGTAACATTATCAGGCCAAACAATGAAATTTGTAAATTTTAAGCGGATGCCGCAACAGTCCAAAAACAGATTTACGGCGGAACCCGCAACATTGCCAGTGTTTTAATCTTCTTTGCTGTTTTAGACTCCACGAACAAATTGCTAAAACAGTGTATAGCAAACTGTAAGCGGAATCCCTAAATTGTGCTCAGAATCCGTCGACATTTGCGGGATCTGCTTATAACTTACTGAATCTGCTCTATTTGCCAAATCCTGAAAAACTAATACTATTCGTTCGTTACTGAATCTGCGGAAAAAATAATGTGTCGACAAAATTCGTTTTCTTCTCAAAATTCGTATTCAATATTCGTATCCACGGCAAACAGATATTGAATACGATAATTGAATACGATATTGAATACGATAAAAACAGCTTGAGTTTTTAGTTACAAAAGTGAGAAAACAAAATCACTCCTTATTACAATGATTGTTTTTAGTCCTCTTGCAGATGATCGTTTTTGATTGAAATTGATCATCAATTTAACTACTGAAGCAAGTTATGATTTCGTATGTTGTTCTGACCTGCGTTCATGTCTATGTTTTAGGACAATCAGAACTGAATCGGACATAGTGGCAAACTTCGACAAAATGTTGTCAGCTACGGCTCCTTATCTCATTCATCATCAGCCATCAATTTTCAACTGAAGTTAACTAAAAATAGTAGTAATGTCATACAATTTCAATTCATAAAAAAGCGCATCATAAAATTTCACACAATTCCATAGAACAAAAATATATATTTTTTTGATAAAAGCATAGCCATGATTAATTGTATGACAATCAATTTTTCATTGGTTTGATGGCAATATTCTCAGTGATAAACTGCATTTGGAGGCTCTCATGTGAGTTAATATCATATAAAATCGAAGAAGCTTATTTTTACATATGACAAAAAAGATCAATTTGGTAAAATTGGTTCGAAATTGGCCCATTGGATTATTTTTTGCGTAATTTTTATTCATATGAACTGGCTCAAAAACAGAATTTAGGCAGTCAAGGAAGCCTTGTACCGGGTCAAGCACTTACAGTGCTGTGATTTTGATTTGCAAAAAAGTAAATAAAAAAAATTCATACACAGTGCCGAGAAAAACAAGATTGAACTTTTTATGCTTTTCGAACTCTTATGGTTTTCGAAATAAAAAACTTTGGCTAATTTCGGAAATAATTATTCAGTTTGTTCAACTTAATATCAGTTCGGCAGCGCCGAAAATTGTTCAGCAGCGCCAAAAATTGATGATTTTTGGCATTGTTGAAGATCGGCCTTCTTGAACTGCCAACGGCAGAATTAGCAAGACATTTATTTTTAAAAAATGATTGATTGATCTTTGTGATTTCTGCCGACATTTATCATCTTCCATGATCGTGATTGCTAATCAGTGATAAAAAAAATACATATTTTATGAGTCATAAGTTAATCGAATTAGCTTAAGAAAATTAAATTTGAGACAGAGACAAAACTTTCTGATTTCGCCTCGCAAATACATTTTCAAAAATATGATTCAGATTTAATTAATAAGTTATTAAGTATAAAATGTATAAAAACCGCGAGGATGATGAAAGAGATTTACCTGTGTGCGTGTAGTTCATACGGGAAGTCATGTTTCCTAATTGGGATGATCCACAAAACTATGGTCCAAGTTCAGAACACTCAAACTGAAAACAACAGCAACAAGATTGGCAGTGATAGAAGTAATTTGGCGAGTATGCCACACCTAATGGCGGATTTCGAAACCGACCCCTCCTATAACTACTCAGAAGACCTGTTCATTAGGGGGGCAAGAGAATACCTGCTCAAGTTCAAGTACTCCACCGCCTCCAACTATGACCTATGGGCCACACTCTCTCAAATGGGGTGAGTCATAGCTAAATTACCAACAACGGTAGCTGCAAATTTCACTTGCACTTCTTAAACCACCGATCCAGTTTTTGTCTGGAAAGATTTTAGTTCTTTTCCGAAACTCCAAAAAAGTGACTTACCATTAAACTGACTAAGCTTGCTAATTAACAAGAACATTAAAATTAGAAAAACCTTTGATAAAAGTATTCGGAAAAAATAGAGTAATTACGGTCGGAAATCTCTGCACAGCAATCGGATTTTTCCCTTCCAACATGATATGATTTTCAACATTTGATCTGCCCTTTTTTCTTTTATTCGTTTTACTTTTGCCTATTCAATCCGTTTCATTTTTTTGCGAGTAACTTAAAAGAATTGAAAAATTTTTTCAAAAAGATATTGATACATTGTTCTGAACAATTTAGTGGAAAAAAAAACATTTTTTTTTGGCTCGGAGATCATTGAAAATGGGTTTTTAGGTTTCATGTATTACGCTAGTAAAACTATATACGTCGGACAAAACGCTTGCTAGGAATAAAGGGTTCTTTCTACTTTCTATCTTAGAAAGTAAATCTAAAATTCGCTGAGAAATATTTTATTGGAAAAGAAGTTAGTATGAATTTACAGCAAGTTGCTTTTTGACTCAATATCTATTTTAACGGTGAGATTAGGGATATTTTGACTGAGAATGGATATTATTTTAGAGAATGGTTGGGGTGGTTGAAGAGAGTGGTGTTGGTGTTAGAAGAGATATTGTTGGGAATGAATTCTCGTAGTTTTGAGCTTCTATTTATACTCAGATGGGAAATCGTACCACTTTTCGTATCAAATGAGAAGTTACTTCTTAACTTCATATTCTCTATTCGTACTTTCGTATTTCACGAGAAGAATGTTTCGTATGCTTGTATTTTACGAGAGGAATCGTTATTATTTGCATTGAACGAGAATAGTCGTTTCAATTCTCAATGCTTAAAACGTTATACGAATTATTCCAATAGCATTTCCCTTCCTTTTGCAAGGGAATAAAAACATATTTAATTTGTGGTGGCGGCGGCGTCACACTTTGTGAGCTCAATAAAATATATCATGTTTCTGTTTCTATTTGAAATCAGAACATATCCATCCTCCTATTTGGAGAGGAAAAAAACTAAAACTTTCATTTTTAGTTCCACTTGAATAGTAGGGTAATTGTTGATCGATCAAAGCTTTTTCTTTCAATCTCATGAAGTTTGTTTAATAGTTTGTCGGTAAAGATAGGTAGCAGATGTTTTTGAACATCTGATACTTTGAGTCAGGCTTGAATGAATATAAATACATCAGTTACATTTATAAATCAAAATAGAGTTTACACAACCAAGAGATTTAACTATAAAATTAAATACATCAAAATTATTTGTTTCTCAAAAAATTGCAGGTCAGTTTAATTTTATCCTTCCTTGAACATTCTTTTCTCGAAGTTTCCTTTTCGTCCTGTAGTATGTGAAGTGGGTGTCCATATGCGTAATGAGGGGAGGACTGGTTCATACAAAAGGGTGTTTTTTTGTTTTTTTTTTGTTTTTAATAAAAGTCAAAATTGTTGAGAAAGGAAAAATCAATAGCTATACTACATAGCTATATAAAACGAAAGAATAAATTTTTAAATGAAAGGATAAATTTTTATAATTTTTCTTCCAACCGGGCTATAAGTTGGTGATTTTTTGTTTTCAAATTATGGATTTGCTTTTTTAGCTCCCGGATTTGATGCGTTTCATGTATATGACTGCGCTGAATTTGCTCAGTATAGTCATCCAACTGGGGGGTTTGTAATTTTGCTGTCAGATATTTTGCTGGGACATAGATTTTTTGATACTCAAGAAGGGAATTAGTTATGGAGTACATTTTTTATGGGGTGATAGGCTTCTAATTTAAAACGGTTGATTAATGGATTCAAAGCATAATTGAGATCCATATCGAAGCCGGGATTACTGTTAGAATTAATGTATCGTTCCCTTTCTAACTGAATATGTAATTTAGTATTTAATTCAGTGGGGTGTAAGGGCTGTCGCCTAATGGTCATTGGATATTGAGAAGTTGATACCGGCGTATTTGCCGTTAGTATCTTATATGGTCTTACAATCTGGGTTCGCTTTTTAATTCTGGAAATCGAGGGAACCAGTGGTATTTTGAAATTAGGGGGTGAAACTTTTAGGGGTGGTGGCTTTGATGCTGTAGTTATTGGGACAGCTGAATTGGTTTGAAGTAGTGGCTCAACGACGGATCGTGTTGAGGTCGGTTTTGCAGTGGGCATTGTAGTAGTAGAAAAAGTTGGTTGTTGAGCGAGTGCTGAAATCTGCGAGTCCAGTGGATCGGTTTGTGGCAGGAGTGAGAGAAGATCCTCAAATCCTCTCAAGTCGTCGTCAAGTGTTGCGTCCATAGTTGAAACAGTTGGTATATCCTAGAACAGTAGAATTTTTTATTAGACTGGGTTTGGTGGGTGATCCAAGTTTTGAGTTCTTCTCTCAAAACTTGTTAATTGGATGTGAGGATACATGCGATCCTGGTTTATTTTTATCAATTTCCTCTAAAAGAGGGGTTTGTATTTTTTGATCACATTCTTGTTCTATTCTTTCAGTTTGCTCATCTTGAGTGAAAATTGAGGTCACTATGGAAGTGAAAAGTATATTGTGTGAGGCGGAAAGCAATACTTTGCCAAACCGTAGTGAGTGGCCGGTAATTTTGTGAATATGCATAGCCTTCATTATGAATACTAGGCAATCTAATATGAATTTCACAAATAGAAAAGAGGCGAAGACTTTTCCGCATTTTTCTAAATAGTATTGTACTTTCCCGAATATACGGGTGTATTCGTTTTTCCAAAAGTTTGGAGAGATGACATAGTCCAAATATATTGTTTGAGAAGAGCCTAGTGGGCTATATGAGTCCGTGAAAAGAAATTTTTGGGCGTTTAGAAAGGAGCTGGATACTTTTTGCAGTATTCCTTTCATCTCTGAATTATCGGAAATCATATTCCAGAATTTTTGCATTTGAGCATATGTGTAGATTAAAGTACCTTGACTAGAGGCTAAAAAATGCTTAATCTATTGAACTATCTCTTTTGGTTTAAAGAGATATGGTCCTGTAACCCTTGTTATTTGAGGGGTTAATTCAATCCAGGACTTATCATCATCAACATCTAGTTGAAAGAGATTTAAATGTTTGTCTGAACAGTCTTGTAAATCTGCCGACTGAAAAGTTTGTCGCGTAATTGGATTGACAAATCGATTGTTTTCCTTATACATAATGGGAATGCGATTATAGCATTCATCCATTAATTGCAAAGGTGAATAAAATTTCGGACATTGGTAGAGCCAGGCAACATTGCCATTGGTCTCTAAAAACATAGAGCGGTTCTGAGTTAAAATGTAGCCAGCCAAACGTGGGCTTTCAAGTGAAAGCATTAGAGTATTTAATATTGAGGAATGTTTAGCTCACATTGATTTTGCAGAAGGGCTAACTCGGCCGCTCTGAGCATGTAGAAGCTATTAAAAAGAATATAGTCCAATTTGGTTCCTATATGAGCTTCGTAGTCAATTTGACTAGTTGAGAATTTGAGTGGCGGCAAATCATCACTTGTTGTGAGAAAAGTAGAATTTGGTTGGCCGGCATTATGAATAGTTCCCGTTTTTGGGGTTAGTTCCAGTATCCATATTGAAACCGTCAGTGTATGCAATAAAAAGTGAATCATATGAAGTTGGATACACTATTCTGGGATGACCACAAAGAGATTGCGGTTTATTCATCACCTGTAGTATGAATTTTTGAGAATCCCTTGTTTGGGTAGAATGAATAGACGGGCTAGAATTGTCTTTAATTATATAGTATGATTCTTCGTTTCGAATCATTTTAGCCGGAAATCTGTTTAAAACAGTGAAAATGCAATTTTTGGGTTCTTCCCAAGTATAAGCAAAAGTGTCTAAGGATGTTGTTTCACATCCATTTGTAGACACTGGACAGGGCAAAGGAATGTTTTGCCAATTTTTGACAGTTCCATCTTTGAGGTTAACAGTCAGAGTTACATTTTGCATGTAAGTTTCAAAAGTGTCCAGTTTAATCCAAGAACGACCATCACATTCATTATGATGTTCGCCGTCAACTTTGCCAGCATGAGCATTAGTTACTGTTTTAACATTAAATTTGAAAGGAATATTTCCAATACTATCATAGCCTAGGTTGAGATAGCATCTGTCGGCGGCCGATTTACATTGATCGGCACATAAATGGAGATCAGTAGTGAGCATATTTTGTCGACCACTCGAATCAAAAGAATCGCAGAACCAACGCATTGATTGGTCTTTGATTCGACACATTGTCGCATTTACTTTTGTGCGATAATGTCTCTGATAAAGAGTAACATAAGCATGGGTTACTTTAATATTTTCTGGTTGGACTTTGCAAGGTGCTAGTTTATTTAGAGAGAACATTTTGTTAGAAATCATTAGTTGACAATCATAATGAGCAACCCGAAGATTATTTGCAGTATTTCCATACAATTGTTCTTTCGGATCAAATGCTGAGGTTTGATTTCAAAGTATTATTAGAGTTAAAAGACCAACCAAATAAATTTTTTGCAGATTTATTTTTTGGTGGTGAATGATAGTAAAAGAATTTTTAAAAGTACTCGCTTTAAGCATTTCCTCGAGAGTGGTTAGAACAGGATCTTTAAACGCTGTTGTTGCTTTTTTGCAAATCTAATCTCTGATTGGCCGTTGTTATTCGGCGTCTCTCGTTTTAATTCGTATTTTCTTTGGCATTCGTTTTGTAATGTTGTGGTTTTTTCCACTCTTGTTTAATGTCGTGGTTTTTCACCTAGTTTTGATTTGTTGAGATTTAGCAGTGAAAAGATTTATATTCGTTTATGCTAATGTTATTTTTTAACAACTGCATTCCCCTTCCCTATTGGAGGAGGAAAAAAATGAAAAAAAAAAAAACATCTCTTCATACAAGAGGACTAAAAGCAACATCATTTATTTTCTTTCTGT